CTCTAAACTAAACAGAAAGTGAGTCCTATCAGTTTCCCAGGTGCCTAAACACACTGAGAGAACCACTAGAGCTCTGGCAGAGTCTGGGGGAAAATCAGAGATTGAGTATGGGAAAAAGTAAACAGGTAAACAGAACTGTTGTTACCTACAAGAAAATCAAAAGTTTACACAAGGAGGGAACCAGCAGTTAGCATAATGGCTATGTCGCTGGACTCCCACGTAGTTGACCACGGTTCGCGTCCCGGACCTGGTGGCTTAAAACTCACGCCGGGCGCGTGTGCGTGTGTGCCCAAGATCCCGAGAGGAGAAGAGAGGAGAAGGGATTGCGGCGTGACCATCCCCCCTGGGGAGTGATTTCTCGCTTTCTGTCTCTATGTCTCTCTCTATCTGGCGAGCGCACGTGCCCTACAGCGAAAACCTCTTCCCCCAAAAATAAAGGTTACACAAGGAGAAAATTGTAATCTTGGTATAGCAAGGAGCTCAGCTGCAATAACCACAGTCAAAATATTGTAGACACTGAGTACTGATTTAAACAAAACATATAATACTATCGGAGGACCCTATCTAGGTCAGAGGAGAGACACCTACTGAGCGGAGTTTCATCTACAGGGAATGTAGAATTTCAAAGTCAAGAAATCACACTATCAGCATATTATTTAGACAAATGGAAGTAAACCAGATGACCAGCTAAAAGATTTAAAAGTAGTTGCCTCGGGGCTAGCAGGTGGTGTGGTGGTTAACGTGCTGGACTCCCACATGGCCAACCACGGTTTGGGTACCGGACCTGGCAGCTTGCTTTCTCACCTTCCCTCTCTCTCTGTCTCTCTTTGGTTAAATTAAAATATAATAACAATAAATAATAAAAAAAAATCAGTTTAAAAAAATAGTTGCCTCTGGGGAGGGAAATTAGGGAAGTGTAAGCAAGGTTAGAAAAAGACAAATTTTTCATATGTCTTATGGTTCTATTAGACTTATTCAAGCTACTTACATGTTATATCCATGAAAAGTAAATATATTTTTTAATTTGCTAGCAGGCACATGCACTCAGTGGAGAGAAGCAGAGACAGAGAAGTGAGAAAACACCTCTTTCCCCCATGGGAGATGGTCATGCCACAATCCCTTCTCCGTTTCTCCTTTAGTATTTTGGGCACACGTGCACACATGCCTGGCGTGTTTTTCAAGTCACCAGGTCTGGGATTCAAACCATGTAGTCAGTCATGTGGGATACAGCTGCCTTAACCACCATACCACTGGCAGACCCCAAAAATTATATTTTAAAAGCTAACCAGGGGACCAGCAGTTAGCATAATGGCTATGTCGCTGGACTCCCACGTAGTCGACTACGGTTCGCATCCTGGACTCGGTGGCTTAAAACACACTGGGCGTGTGTGTGTGCGTGCCCAAGATCCTGAGAGGAGAATAGAGGAGAAGGGATTGCGGCGTGGCCATCCCCCCTGGGGGGTGATTTCTCGCTTTCCGTCTCTCTGTCTCTCTCTGTCTGTCTGGCAAGCACACACGCCCTATAGTGAAAAACCTCTAAAAAAAAAAAAAAAAACAGCTAACCAGAAGTCCTTTATAAGATCTCATTAACCCATTTTAGAAAAACAAAGTAGAGCAAAAGTTTGCTTAAGACCACACAGCATGGAATCTGATTCCAAAGCTAGTCCTCTTCCCAGTGCTCCAGGCTCACAGATGAGTGTCCATATGATGCATCCTGTTCCTCCGAACTAACCCACCTGGACGTGAGGTACATTTCCTGATTCAGTGCAAAACCAAACATCCCTTAGGACCATTCAGCATCGTGGGGATTGTTGACTCTAGTTCTTAATAAACATGTTAAATATACTCCGGCCCAAACAGCCACTAGTTAGTACTTCTGGCTTTGCCTTTCCAACCCATCAAAGTCAAATTCTTGAAGCCTGACCAGTTGCAAACATCTTCCAATGCATTTCACTGTTCTGTTTTGTTTTGTTTTCTATATGGACAAGAAGTACAGGTAAGTTCAGATCTGCAGCCTTAAAAATTTTCTTTCTGTAGTCTTTCCTAGTGGTTTCTGAGCGATCCTTGATATTTCTGCACAGGTGGATAGAATTCGTCCACCTCTGCCTCCATATTCCTGGCAGACCACCATTTATGAAATTGCACAGGGTCCTATAGATGGAGTATGACATAAGTATTAAAGCCCCCCTATAATTCTGTCCTCTAGAACTATGCAATGAAACAGCTAGTAGAGTGAAACTTCGACCAAGAAGGCCCTTAGATATTTGACTCAACAGGCACCTTTGACTGAGGTCCAAAACAACCTGACCATGAAGACGTCTGCTTTATTTTGTAATGGGATGCATCTGTCTTTGCTTATGCCTAAAAATATACTGTTTGGTCACAGCCACGATAGAACAGGTAACTAGCTCTATTCTACTTTTCTGCGCATTTGTTCATTTCAGCAGGTAGAAAAGGACATTTTTAATTGCAGGTTTGGTAAGAAGCTAAGAAGCCAACAAGCAGATCACAGGGCACAGACTTAAAAAGTTTTTTTAGGGGGCCAGTCCTGGTGGATAAAGGACCTGGATCTCACATGACCCACTGCATGCTTTGGGTCCCAGACCAGGATACTTGAGAAGCATGCTATATGTGTGTGCCCAAAATCCTGAGAAGACGGATATTAGAGAAGGGATTGCAGCATGACCATTCCCCATAGGGGATACCTCTCTCTCTCTCTCTTTCTCTCTTTTTTTTTTCTCTCTCTCCCTGGTGAGCTCATGTGCCCTCTGACAAAAAAAAAAGTTTTCACAGTTTTTAACCTGTGAGTAACCTAATTTGAGCCTAGACTGCTCATGGGAGAACCAGAGAATCAAAATTCTCCGATCACTTCCATAATTCTACTTTTTAAAATAGCCACTAGCCTGCATCATTCACGATACCTAAAGTGTGGATACAATCCAAGTATCCGTTGACGGGTGAACAGATAACTGAAATGTGCTACAAAGGTGCAGTCGAATATTTGATAGGAACGGCATGAGATTTTTAGGGAAAAACAAGCAACAACCCAGAAACGACCAAAAGAACACCTGCGTTTCAACTCAGCTTTGCTATTTTCCAGCCGTGTGACCTCAGTTTCATCTCTAAATGATCAATAATGGTGACTATCTTGCAGCTTTTGAAGGGCTGAAGCTAGGTATCGCATAAAACTTGGCAGCTTACTGGCTCTATCCTTGGCCCAGAAGCTGTCTCTCCTTTTTCTCACCTTACCTCCCCCTAAAGGTTCTGACACCCCAGAGAACAAAGACCTGTGTTTAGAGTCCTTGGCTGAGAATAACTAACAATTAGCAGCTGTATTGGTTAGAAACTTAAATCTCTGTATAACCCTTTTTCATCTTTCGTCTGCTCCTTCCTTCCAAGTCAGAAGCTCTCGCCTATGGGGGCTGAATATAGGAACTGCTTTTCCAACTTTGCCAATAGACCTCAGATCAATAATTATTTGTCTTACATTTGCTAAGTTATAAACATTGGATTCCTTTTAGAGTGTGGCTCACCCTAAAATCTTTGTACTTACTGAAAAAGCCATATCGTAAGACTATAATCTCTACCTCTACGAGATAGTATACTATGAAAACACAGAAAATCTAAATGCTTTGGTGGGAGTACACCACATACATAGAATTTGAGGTCAGATTGTTAAAACAGGGTAACGCTCCTGTGGTCTGCCTCGACTTCTGGGAGAGCAGTGTTGTTTTGGATCCAACACATTCAGCTTATTCATTTGGTCGGGAGAAAAAAATGTCAGCCGGACATATTTTTTGAGAAATACATTAAATAAAATACTGACAATGTCGGCAATAGTTGAACCTTAGAGTCTGTGCATCCAGCAGTTTGAGTGTGCATTTCTTCCACAAATACATTCCTTAATGGACTATGCAGGAAGCATACTCAAAAATAATGCTGTGTTACTGAAGCTGTTACTGAAAAAAAATAATAAAATATTTAAGTAGGTGTCAGTGGCGAGATGGCCATGCTTATTCAATGGAGCAAATCAAATACAGGGCAAACCCTTGCCTGGGAAGGAATGCCCAGTAAAAACAGAAGCTTATTAAACTGCCTTTGAGCATATGGAAAGTGGTTGTCTTGCAAAATCAGCTTTGCCTTGCTATGACTGCAATTTCTTCTTCAGTTAAATTTACTCTTAAGGTTTTTAGCTTTTATTTGCCCTGTTTTTACCAGTGTAAAAATATCTTAGAAGTTTTTTTTGTTTTCTTTCCAGGCTTTCCAAGTGCTTTCACCATTCAATTCATTGCCATATTATTTTTACATAGGATGGAAGAAGTTCGAGTTCCCAAAGAATGTCCCTTGCCCTCAAATCTATCTATTTTATTTGTGGGTCGCCCATGTGGTACTGAAGCCGCGTGTAGACTCGAGGTCACATTTTTCACAGAGCCACGATGTCCTGAGGGCTTGCCTCATTCTGGCGTCACAGCTGGCATGTATAAGTAGGATGCTCAGGACACTGCGCCACTGCCCCACAGGGCGTGTGGGAGCCCCACAGCGGACTGGTCCCAGGGATGCCCAACTAACGGGTCCCGTGGGCATTTGCCCGGCTTTCCTGGAACCGGGCAGTGGCCCCTCACCAGCCCGGTGACTTCCTCATTGTGCGCGGCGTCGCAGCAGATCTGCGGTTTTGAAACTGCACACCTGGTGCGTCATTCGGCTGACAAGCCCTGCAGCGCGCGTGCCCAGCACGAGAGCCGGGTCTGAGATGCTTGGGTCACCTGACTCCTGCTGCAACCGCAACCTACCCACCCAAACACCCCGGCAACAACCCCGAACTGGATGCGTCACCACCCCCGGGTCGAAGGCCTTAAGATGCGCCTTTCTATCCCCACGAGTCGGCTCTGGCAGTCTCCCCCTTTCTCAGATCTCCACTCTCTGCCCCGCGCCCCCGGCAGCCGCAGCCGCAGCGCCCCGCACATAACCACCGCGCCCAGGGAGCAGGGCCCCGCACATACCCACGTCGCCCAGGTAGCAGCCTTCAGCAGCCTGGGGCTCCATGCAGCTTGGCTGCCGGGTGCCCCAGCCCCGCGCCGGGTGACTCTCGGCGCTAGGACCAGGGTCGCTGGGCGGGGCCAACTGCGCCCGCCGCGCGTCGGCCGGAGGTGGCCGAGTGCCGGGACTTGTAGTTCCTGTCGCCGTCCTGGCGCGGTTCCTGGTACACCGGCCAGTGCTCGACGCGGTCCACGTTTCCCTACTCCGTTTTCGCCGCGCTTTGCTGGGTTGCTGAGGAGTGTATATGCTTGTTTGTGCAAATCGTGTCCTATGTACGCAAGTGTCCTTGCGTCCTTGTGCAAAACATGCATTTGTGTGTAAGTATGTGTCCGTGTGTCCATGTGTCTGCCCAAGTACGTATCCGTGTGTAAACATGTGCCTGTGTGCCCATGTGAAAAAGACATCCTGTGCAAGCACGTGCCCACGTGTCTTTGTGCAAAGCATGTGCCCACGTGCAAAATATGTGACCTATGTAATCATCTGTCCTTGTGTAAAACATATCCATGTGCAAAAGTGTGTTCTGTGCAAGCATGTGTCCATGTATCTGTATCCAAAACACATGTCCTGCTCCCAAAACTCACTCCTATCCTTTGCATTAACCATGCCCAGGAAACTGCCAAAGTTCGGTGGTTTACTTTCAAGAAATCTAGGAGAACTGGTGTTCATAATCCCTCATTCTTTAAATGCTTTAAGGTAAATCTTAAATTTCAAATTGTTCACATATATTTAAAAAAAAAAAAAAAAGAGGCCTCTTTACAGAGATTTTTATGTTTTTCCTCAAGTTGCCAGAGGGAGGAACTGTGCACTTATCAGAACTGGGCAGGGAGCACCCCCTAGTGGGGCATGGTAAGGACACAATCCCTTCTCTGTTCTCCAACCTTTGGGATTTTGGACACCTCCCTGTGGGATCTGACCACCATGTGGGATCCACTTCCTCTAACCACCAGGTTAGGGGCTGGTCCTGGGGGCGGTGCCGGGGGGCAGGGAGAGGGGGTCAATCCAATGTTCACCTAAGAAGCAGGTTTCCACCTGGAAGAAATGAAGGCTTTGTTCCCCAAATTACTCTACTATCGAATACTGGAGTTTTGGGGGTTTGTTTTGTTTTGTTTTTCCCCTTCCGAAGTCATTTCCAAAGTTCAGAAGGTTTAACTTAGCCAAAGTTGTAACCTTGTCAGGAGATTCTTTCCTCACCTGTCCTGCACATAAATGTAGAGGTCAATTTGGGCTCAAAGTAAAAATACCAGGAATCTTCAATCTGGAAACAGATAAGGACTAACAGAGAGAGGACATTTTGCCCTCTCACTAGGCCTCACTGATGACCCCAATCTTTATTTTCAGTCCTCTAGTTCAGAGACGTTGAACCATATCCAAGGGAATCCGAAACTCCTGGGAATTCAGAGCCCCAAGCTTAGGGAATGAAATTTTAACCCTGCTTATTTCTTTTTTGCTATTTGTCTACCAAAATTAGACTCTTGAATTTCTCTACAAGTTTTCTGTATTTTCTACTAAGTGTAATAGATTTTGTATGCTATGTTTTCCGTGACCACGTGTGTGCTGTATGTTTGTATTTTCTTCCTATTTCTTCCTTGACAAAGTATCATCTAGATGTGAGTATAGATCACATAGCATCACATACAATATATGTATTCATGTGTGTATGTGCGTTACGCAAGCATTTGCTTATCCTTTGCTTATACGGTAATGTCTTTTCCTTCAATCTGTTGTTCAAACTTCAATTTTTTCTTGCAGAAGAATTTTCTGAAGTTTTCATATATTCAGAAATACATTCTCTGAAAGTATTTCCTTTTTCTTCAATATTCAGAATATATTTCCCCACCAAGGGCCAGAGTATGAGTGTGTGTATTTCTGTTCTGTTATTCAATCTTTGACCCATCTGGAATTTGTTGCAATGTATAGGATGAAAAGATCTAAGTTCATTATTTTCTAAACCGATATTCACTGAGTAGTAATCTACTTAATGGTTTCAATGTTAATCTCTTTTTATTATATGTTAGTTTCCAATTATCTTTTTTTCTTTTAGATTTTATTTACTTTTCTTTATTCACGATAGCATGTGGAAGCATGAGAGCAGTAGAGAGCAAGAGAGATGAGAACCCTTCACAGGCAGGGTCTGGTCATGCCGTGAAGCCCTCCTGCAGTCCTTCATCTGATTGGATCCTGGGCACTTGAGCACCTACCCAGCATTTTTTTTTTTTTTTGAGAGAGGTTTTCACTATAGGGCGTGTGCGCTCGCCAGACAGACAGAGAGAGACATAGAGACAGAAAGCAAGAAATCACACCCCAGAGGGGATGGTCATGCCGCAATCTCTTCTCCATTCTCCTCTCGGGATCTTGGGCACACACGCACACGCTCCCGGCGTGAGTTTTAAGCCACCAGGTCCAGGACGCGAACCACAATCGACTACGTGGGAGTCCAGCAACATAGCCATTACGCTAACTGCTGGTTCCCCCAGCATGTTTTAGGCTGACTTGGACGAGGTTTAAAACTGTGGTCGCCATCTGGGTTACAGCTTCTTTTTATTATAGCAGTGCATCACAGAGCCAGCCACCAATTATCTTTTGAATCTAATGTAAGAATCTCTGTGATATTAACAAAAGTTTTATTATTCATTTAGCAAATATTTACTGGTTACCAAACCCAAGATAGTAACTTTTAAGTTAACCATCACATAGGGTTTTTAAAATAAGTGTCATTTTATAAGATTATAAAGGAAAAAGATAAAATTGTAGTGTTTTTGTTAGTTTTAAAACTGATGTGACGGCTATTTTGAAAAGTGTGTATTTAGGAATTCCCCACCCGTCATGAACCAAGATGTCTTAAAAGGTTAGTTTTTTTTTTTTTTTTGAGAAGTTTTTGCTATAGGGCACGTGCGCCCGCCAGACAGACAGAGAGAGACATAGAGACAGAAAGCGAGAAATCACCCCCCAGGGGGGATGGTCACGCCGCAATCCCTTCTCCTCCATTCTCCTCTCGGGATCTTGGGCACGCACACACATGCGCCTGGCGTGAGTTTTAAGCCACCGGGTCCGAGACACAAACCGTGGTCGACTACGTGGGAGTTCAACGACATAGCCTTTACGCTAACTGCTGGTTCCCAAGATGTCTTAAAAGGTTAGATTGCCTTTTAGATAGCAAAGCTATAATTTAAACAGTTTTAAAATATGATATATATGTATAGGGCTGGCAGGTGGCATGGTGGTTAAAGGTGCTGGATTCCCACATGACCAACCGTTGTTCAAGTCCCAGGCCTGGCAGCTTACTTTCTCACTTTCCCCCTCTCTCTCTTTCTCACACTGTCCTTCTCTAATCAAATTAAATAAATAAATAAAGATAAATAAAATAATTCTTTTAAAAAATATGTATGACATATAGGAGAGAGCCCACAGAAATAGATTCACTTACATGAAGGAGCCTGGGATTCAAAAGAAAACATACTATAGATGAATGGATTGAAAGAAGGACTCATTCAATAAATTTTATTGAGTCAAATGTTTACTACATGAAAAAAGATAAAATTTGCTTTCTACCTCATATCATACACAAAAATTAGTTTAAGTAGCTTAAGTGTGAAAAAACAGAAATGTGACAATAACATAGGAGAAATTGATAGGCAAGGACTTCTTACACAAGACACAAAAGGCACAAAGCATAAATTAGGAATATATTGATCAATTTGACTTCATTAAAATAAAAAACTTTCAGGACCAGCAGTTGGCGTAATGCCTATGTCACTGGACTCCCATGTAGTCAACCACGATTCAAGTCCCGGACCCAGTGGCTTAAACTCACACCGGGCGCATGTTCGTGCGTGCCCAAGAGCCCGAGGGGAGAATGGAGGAGAAGGGATTACGGCATGGCCATCTTCCCTGGAAGGTGATTTCTCCCATTCTGCCTCTTTGTCTCTCTCTGTCTTTCTGGCGACCACACATGCCCTATAGCAAAAACCTCTCCAATAAATAAATAAATAAATAACTTTAATAGGACAAAAGACATAAACAAACTGGGAATGTAAACCACAGATAGAAGATAGTTGCAACTCATGTAGCAAAAGATTTGTGTCCAGTACAACCTGATACAGTTCTACAAACCAGTGAGAAAAAGATAAACCAACGGGAAAAAAAAAAATTAAACAAAGGATATAAATAGGCAATTTACAGAGAAAATAAAATGGTTAAAAAGAATTGAAATGCTACTGAGATGCCATCTTACACACATTAGCTTGGCAAAATGCCTAAGTTTGACAATAGCAAGGCTTGGTGAGGATGTGAAGAAATAAGAATTCTTGCTTGTAACTAGTAGCTGGGGAAATTGTGGTAACCACACTGGCAAAGCCAAGTAAATTTGAAGATGCTCATTCTTAAGGCTTACCTGGGGCAATCATAGTTTAAGCCACTTGTCACAAAAGAATTATTAATTATCTCTTCTTTTATCGCTAAAGTATCCTGACTCAGAGAAGAAATGGCATGTTCGGGACCAGCAGTTAGCGTACTAGCTATGTCTCTGAACTCCCATGTAGTCAACCGTGGTTCAAGTCCTGAACCTGGTGGCTTAAAACTCACGCTGGGTGCATGTGCATGCATGCCCAAGATCCCGAGAGAAGACTGGAGAAGAAGGGATTGTGGCATGGCCATCCCCCCTGGCGGGTGATTTCTCACTTTCTGTCTCTGTCTCTCTGGTGAGTGCAAAAACCTCTTTTGCTCTGTAGCAAAAACCTCTCCAAAAAAAAAAAAAAAGAAAGAAATGACATGATCACTCCCCACATACCTGTGATGGAACACTCCCATCTCTGAAGGACACGTGCATGAATCTTCACTGCAGGGTTTTGTTTTGTTTTGTTAATTGCCAAAGGACATGCACTCATGAGAGTGAGGGTCCAAGAGTCAGAGAAAGAGAGGAAGAAAGCACTCTAATGGACCATGGTCATCCTGAAATGCCTTCTCCTCCATTTTTCCATCCTGTTGGAATTTGAGGCAGGCTTGCACGCACATGGTTTTCAAGCCCTGGTCAGTCATGTGGGATATGATTCCCTTAACCTTAGACTACCAGGGCCAGTGCACTCAGGACTATTTTCAACAGGAGAAAAAGTGAAAGACATCTAATGGTAAGAGAATGAGTTACTTCCTTAATGGAATGAACTACATATATAGTGTCAACCTGAATAAATATAAAAAATATTGCAATGTTTCATGTCGTGCTTTCTATTTTTATAATTTTTAATTTTTATTTAACTTTATTTATTTTAATTTTTTGACATAAAAGTATGAAATATTTTTCAATTTTTTATTTATATATTTTTTATTATTATTCATACATTAAATCACTATACATCATTTAGATTGTGAAGAGACTTTACCCAGCATGATTTACA